TGTCAAAAGTTTGGTGTCGATCATTCGATTTCATCCTGGACACTACAGAAAATGGGCTAAAAGTGTTAAAAACCGGAATTTTCCTTTAAAGTTTGCTAAAATGTTTTCACAGGATGCATAAATAACCTGGTTAGGTTTGTTAGAGACGGGTCTATAATGAGTGAGGATTAGACCTTAGAGACCGATTTCCTTCACCTTGATCACAGAAAGCAGCAGGAGTTGAGTTTGATCGTTTCAATTGATCCATTTTATTGATCTCCTCTTCATATCTTTCAGCTCTTTCTGAAAATGTTGATTTCAGTCGCCTACTGTCACAGGGTTTCTGCTGGTCATTAAATCATTAAATTAAAAATTCAATAAATGTGAATATCGTGGGATTTAAATGCTTTATAAAAAAAAAAAAAAGATAAATAAAAACAATTTCGTCCGAATTATCAGATATAACTGGTTTTGCGTGTTTCTGCGGAACTGCTTCCGGTTGATCGTAAAGTCATATGTTCGGAAATGAAGCTAGAGGCGGAGAAAGAGCTGGGAAAATGCACATTTCAACAAAACTGGCTGGAAAATTGGAAAATTCGGGACATGGCTGCCGCCCATTGACGGAAGAGATGATGAAGGATTTTGCTGTGATTCATTTATATATATATATATATATATATATATATATATATATTAGGAATGGAACGGTTTATGAAAACCGTCCGAATCGTTCGGTTCGACTGTCTCGGTTCGGTCCATGCGCTGCTCCTTTCATAGAGGAAGCGTTTCCACTCCAGAGCAGAAGGTGGCGGTACTGCGACCAAAGCCAACCGCCAGAAGTAAACAAGAAGAAGAAGAAGCGAAGCAGCGTAGCCGGGTGTAGCAGAAAAAAATCAGTTGTTGTGGAGAATTGTGTGGGTATGGCGAGTGGGAAAGAACAGGAGTTGGAAGACGCGCCAGCAGCACTTTATAGGTCTGCTGTATGGGACCACTTTGCATTTAGAGTGACCTATGATGACGGCGGGAAGAAAGCTGTGGATAAAAGTGCAACAGTGTGCAAGCATTGTGCAACACGTTTTGTTTATGCTAACAGCAACATGACCAACATGTCAGGCTAACCCCTGAAATCCCTCATACTCCGTCAGCGCTCCGCCCCGCTGCGCTCCAGACTGGCTGCTCAAAGCAAAGCCTACAGCCTCCACTGTGGCTCCCGTCCGCTCAGCTCTGAGTTCCTTGGAGATGGTAGAGGGCATGCGCGAGATGATTAAATTCAAAGCAGCAAAACATACGGAAATGATCCGGGGTTTCCGCGGATCATTTAAAATAATTACAATCCATTATTTTTGGGGGGTTTTTTTCATTAATTCCATAAATTTTTATGGGATTTTGGTGTAACAATCAACATGTATCGAACCGAACTGAAAACCGTGAACCGAACCGTGGATTTTGTGAACCGTTCTACCCCTACAGTTTCTGCGGAACTGCTTACGGTTGATCGTAAAGCCATATGTCGAAAATGAAGCTAGAGGCGGAGAAAGAGCTGGGAAAATGCACATTTCAACAAAACTGGCTGGAAATGAGGAATACGGGACATGGTTGCCCCCCGTCGACGGAAGAGATGATGAAGGATTTTGCTGTGATCCATTTATATATATATATATATATATATATATATATATATATATATAATTATGAGTCATTGGTACTTGTTGATGGCATTAAAATTATTTCAAAAACCATTAAAAAGCATTAAATTAGAGTTACTGGTTCCTGTATAAACCCTGTTTTTGACCTTTTTATTTAAACCTAACTTTAAACTTTACCTATTTAGAACTCTGCAGTTTTTAATTTGCCACATTAAATATTGTTCCAACTTTAGGTTTCCACATTTACAGTGTTGTGATTATTTTATCGTCACTTAAAATGCATCCAATTTGTAGTTGTTGTTTTTTAGGACCGGTGTTTTAATGAAATTACAATCATGTACCGTAATTTAAAACTGGTTTTGTTTGTGGCTGCAGATGACTGAACATTACTGGACTCCGCAGAGTAACGTCTCCAATGAGACGTCCACCAATAAAACCTTCCAGCGTACCATCTCTGCACAGGTACCAGCATGCAACGTAAAACACCTCCGCATCCCGTCCCTCGCTGCTCTTTGTTAGACTCAGTTCTGTTTTTCTGTGCTCCATCACCTGCAGGACACCCTGGCCTATGCAACGGCCCTGCTGAACGAGAAGGAGCAGTCTGGCAGCAGCAACGGCTCAGACGGCAGCCCGGCCAATGAGAATGCAGAGCGAAGCCTCCGACAGGTAGTCATTGTCAACAACCCAACGGGGGTCTGAAATGACTCATGCTGTGACAGCAGCTCACATTCAGAAGGAATAAAGCTTGCAGACTGGAAGGCTTTGCTCCCTCCTACGGTTCCTATTAGCCGTGGATTCAAAGCGGATTCTTGGGGCTCCTGCTGTGCTTCTCAGCGTTTCTACACAGATTGTTAGAGTTTATCTGGTGCGAACAGAAGACACAATGAGTGGGTTTGGATTGAGCATTTTAATCCTGGTGTCACCTCCTAGCTTATGAATGCTGCGCCATTGTTTCTACATTTCTACCTCTGGAAACGCCCACATCCCTTCTTGTTGAAACAAGAAAGTCTTGGGTTCAAATCCCAACCTGAGCTCTGATTTTATTTTTTTCTTACTACTTCATATTTTGTACTCTGATGTTTAATTTTCTCTTCTTCTGTCCACAGGGCTCAGAGTCTCCCATGATGCTCGGCGATTCAAAGAGCGATCTAGAAGACGTGGACTCCTAACTCCTCGTCCTGCGGGACGACTCTGACGGCGAGGCGGCTCAGGTCCAGGACGCCGGTCCAAATCAGGCTCTGATGGGCCAGAACTCTTGGGACTCCACAGGAAGCCAATCAGGACACTTTCTCTAGGTCGCCAGGGCAACCGAGGAGCTGTGTATAAATCATGAATAACTTCCTTTCAGAGAGGCCAAGGCGCCGGTGGCGAAACTTTAACGGCGCCACGGCTGGCGGCCGCCGGACAGCGAATTCACAGACGACTTCAGTTTCTCCTTTTCTGCTCACTCATTCACCCAGAATGACATGGAGGTGGAGGACGGGCGCGGGTGGTGTTTTAGCAATCTTCTGCTCTTGTTTTGCCAATGTGTTTGCGAGCGACGTCTTCATGTTGTAATTAAGGTTTGTCTCATTTCCAGTGTAAGATAATATTTTAAAGTCTTCTCTGCAGCCATGCAAAATGAAGGAGGCGACGTTAGCGCTGCTTTCGAGGAACTCACAGGCGTGAACGGGAACACCTCCACACACAGGGGGGTGGGGTGGGGGGGTTTGGTTCAGTATGCACTTTATAGTCCAGCCTAGGCTATTGTGATGTACAGCAGCACGGCTCAGTTCCTCCAGAGCAACTTAGTGCTTTTCTCTCCTTTTCTCTTTGTTTTTTTTCTTTGCTTTTAACAATGTGCCACTTACTGGAGCCGCTCTCCCTGTGACCTTTGACCCGGAGCCACAGGGACGCCGTGCGTGTGTCAGGATCCACACACATCAGCAGATCTCCAACTAGCAGTGCCATAGTCAGCACTCATCCCAACCCTTCACCCTCGTTTCTAGCGCTGACAGGCAGCCTCATGTGCCCAGTTTCTTTTCATTGCTACGTTAAAATATCTTTGCCACTTTATTATTATTTTTCCTCTGGATGGATTTCATCTGACAGAGGATCTTCAGCCTTATGCAACCTGATCTGGAAGCGCTCGGATCAGGCAGGCGGGCCATCGGTGCCGACTGAAGGGAAGCTCAGGAGCTCGTCTTTGTTTTTTCTTTCTTTCACGTGCCAAGGGATATATTCACACACATGCACAATAGAAATGACTCATAGTTGCTCACAAACGCACACATCCTCCATACATAGTTGTCCCCCCCTGCTCTATCTATCGGCCTTCGTTTTGTTTTTTTAGTCTATCTGCCTTGGTAAACTCTCCCAGGGAAGCTTATCCAACATGTAGCTCTAGTTTGGACTGGAGAGAAACATCCTGGCTGCTGTCGCCTCTCACCCACATCCGTCGGGAGTCTTAAAGTGCCTTAATCTCCCGATGTACCCCGCCCCTCTGCTTCCTCACGCCTTCTGTCACCGTCTGCTTCACCGGCGTCTCCTGCAGGAGCGCACAGGGCTCGTTCATCTCCGTTCTTATCCAGTGGAACCAAGCATCACCTCTGGGCGTTCTGATGGAGGATCTTTGTGAATGTAGTGCTGATGGTGGGGGGGGGGGGGTGCTCGTAGGGTGTTGGCGATGGTAACAAATGCTGCTTCTTTTTTCCCTCTGCCTCAGTAGAAGTGGATTTGGCCGGTATAGTTTAGAGGAAGTGACGCTTTGACTCACTCAGCTTTAACAGGTCAATGTTTACAGAGCGAGGACCTGCTGTCGGAGGCGGTCCTGACTTCCTGTCGGACTCACCGACGCTCCTCTGACAGCCTAAAGCGAGGAAAACTAAACACTGCTCCAGCCCCTCCCTCCTCCTCGGTCTCATTAGTCGTGAATGTCACGGCGTGCTCTGCGGCACGTTTGCATGTGTGGCGGTGAAGTTTGTGCTTTTTAATCCAGCGTGACAGAACAATGAAATCAGCCCCCTGCGTCTTTTGCTGCGTGATTAGCTATCATTAGCATTTACCCACACAAACCGGGCCGATCTGCGCGGCCGGAGGGCGCCGCTCGCAGTGCCAAGCCACGCGTGGCCATGGCAACACCAGCTGCATCCAGCTGAGCGTTTCTGGTAGGACCGGCCCTCCTCCACATGGACACAGCTATCTGAAGACGGGGCGGGGGTATTTAAAACAATCGTTTTATTTCTGGGGGGGACGAGCGAACGAGCGCGGGGTCGGGACGGGTGGCATCCATACGGGTTTTTACTGTGTTTCAATGATGAAAGTTCACTTCTGACGACGCAGCGATCTGTAATGCATGTTGAAACTCAATTTTAATTTGTACATCAGAGTTTGATTAAGGGGAAATTTGATATAAAATAAACTGCAATGCACAAGCTTTTGTAAATATTGTTTTGGCACATATCTGCACATGGTTCGGATTTCCCTTTGAAAAAAGAAAGAACGACTTTTTCCAAATGTTGGGTTTTTATCTGAAGATATTTGCTCTTTGTTAACTTTGCTAAACAGGTGGAAGAAGATTGATGTAAATCACTGAACTCCATGAAACCAAGTAGAAAGAAAAGCCCTCAGAAGAGAAATGGTCCAAAAAAATGAATATTTGTCTTTAATCCAGTTAACGAATAATCGATTACTAAATTAGTTGACAATTTTTCAATATTCAATTAATCTAGTTTTTTCAGCCCTACTATGAACATTTGTGAGAGAACATAAGTGAATAAACAGAAATCTCTTATAGAAAGAGGAAAGCAGAGTGAGAAATTATATAAGAAGAATCTGAAATGAAAAAGGGGCGTGGCACATAGGGCTACAGGTAACGATTATTTTGCAAATCGATTAATCGGCAGATTAATAAATTTTCAGGTTATAATTGGAAAGCCAAAGGTTCCTTAAAGAAGACTTTTTACCAAATGAAACCAGGTGAAACTAAAACTGCACTTAAAGGAATAGTACACCCAAAACATGATTAGCCTTCATTTTCTACTCACCCCCATGCTGAACAACACTCTGGAGTACTTTTTTGATAACTCAAATGCATCTGGAGAT